TTTTCATTCATCGGCCTTGGGAAAATGTGACTGTTACTCGTACCTTTTTCCTATGAAAAAATAATTTTTACGGCTAAAATAACTGAATCAACTAGCTTAAAAAAAATCCTGGATCACCTAGATAAAAAGGCTAGATCCCATACTAAGGGGGCGATTGTTTATGGTTTCAATAGTAAAAAAATCAATCAAAATTCAATTTTAATCTAACTCCACTATTTTCTATATTATCAATATAATTAAATAATATCAATCAATTATTATTACACGTCACATCAATTTTAATTCACTATTCATATATTCACATAATTTAAACTATCATCACTTTTTTTTTACTTTACATTAAATTAATTTTAATTATTTTATTTTAAATAATATTTTAACATATCCACTAACAACTAATCATACCACCTTTTTTCAAAACAAACCAAATAAAAACTAGTTGAATCCATAAACAATCACCCTCTAAGGATGTGATTGGATATAAATTCACATAAAAAATATTTAATCAAAACTCAAATTTAAATTAAATTTAACTTAACTCTACTATCGTCAGCATAATTAAATAATGTCAATCAATCATTCTTACAATCACATCAACTTTAATTAAGTAATGTCAATCAATCATTCTTACAACCACATCAACTTTAATCAACTATTCATCTGCTCACATAATTTCAATTAACTATCACTTCATATCATCTATTTTCTACTTTTACATTAAACTAACTTTAATTATTCTATTTTAAATTATTTTAATTTAAATTTAAATTCTCACTGACAACTAACCATATAAAATTAACTAGTTACTAAAAAAATCAATCAAATTCATATCCAATCACACTCTAACATAATCACTAAAAGCAAAAACTAAGATTCAAAACAAACACTGAAAGAACAAGACTCAAAAGCTTTTCATTGGCTAAGACGAAGAAGACCACAATCAAGATTACACGATTTGAAAACTCAAAAAACTCTCTATTTCCAAAAACTTTTGAATCGGCCAACCGAATACAAGGGATCATTGGCACTACCATGGTCTACACATATCTGGTCTGCTGTTTTTTTCAGGGAGGCCAGTTAGAGAGAAAGGAAATTATTGTAGAAACAAAATATTGTATGGCAGGATTCCCACAACTAATCATACATATTTCTACTCAATGTTTTTAAAATGAACAAGTATTCACACTTAGGTTCTTCAAAACTCAAAATAGGCAACCACATTATGCCCTTTGCCATATTCATTTGTGCCTTCAAAAACCAATGTTGACATTGATTGCATTTCATGTTTAGCTAATATTTTAAGGTCATGATTCGCTATACATACATGTTCCAACTTTCAAACTCAGCCTCACCAGACAAATGTATGTACTATAGAAAACAAATTAAGCCAAAGCCAAACATTTTGTATTCACATCAAAGTAGCTAGAGATGAAACCACCAATCTACAGACACAACCAAGATTTCCCTCCCTGCACCTTTTCCTCTATACTATACATAAACAACATCTAAAACCAATTTCATACAGCAACTGCAAACCCAGGTGGACCCCGTCCCACATCCTCATTTCCCGGGCCCACACAACCTTCAACAACCCCCAGACGAGCACACGACGAATAATAATCCTCCGAAAATCCCCCGACCCCACTCCCACAATCCCCCGTCTCGAAGCTCCCTTCCACAAATGGATGGTACAAAAGCAAGTCGGTCCGCACCCTACCCGACGGCTCTTTTTCTAAACAGCACATGAGAAAATCGGCCGCCTCATCCGATATCCACTCTGGAATCCTCAAATATTCCCAATCTTCTCCTATACTCCTCAGAATCTCCTCCTTACTCCCGGGCTCCCACAACGGCCGCCCAGTCAGCATCTCCACCACCACGCAACCCACCGCCCACACGTCCCCTGCCGCCTCCTGCAACCCCTCGGTAACAGCCTCCGGCGGCAGGTACATGGGAGTGCCCTGCCACTTTCCGGGCCCTGCCGCAGCCCGTTTCCTCCCGGCCCGTTTCGGCTCCCTCTTGGCCAGCCCGAAATCGCTGATTTTGGCCGTGAAGCCGTTTTGGCCGTCGGGCACGAGAAGTATGTTGTCGGGCTTCAGGTCACAATGAACGTAGCCGTGGGAGTGGATGTGGTCAAGGCCCATCAGGATGGATCGCGTGTGGGCCCTCACCTCGGGCTCTGGGAGCCCGCCGCCAGAACTTTGGATCCGGTCGGAGAGAGTCCCGCCGGCGGCGAATTCGAGCATTAGGTTGTAAAACAGGGCGTCGTTCCCGACGGTGGTTTCCTGGCCGAGGCACTGGATCAGGTTCGGACAGCCCTTCAGATCTGACATGATTTCCCTCTCGGACCGGAGCGTGTCGGAGAATTGGACTGGGGCAGACTTGACGGCCATCTCCGGCGGCGGAAAGGAGCAGGGGTTTCTCGGCGTGGCCATGAACACGCAGCCGAAGCTCCCTTTGCCCAACATCTGGCCCCTGATCCATCCAACGCCGTCTCCGAAGTCTTTTGTCTCCGCCATGATTGTGTAGTGTACTTAGGAGAGTTTTTTGGTTTACTTCAATTACTTGAGGCTTACGCAGAAAAAAAAAAGGAAATAAGAAAAACAGAGTAATGAGTTAGCGGGGAGAGGGTTTGTGCCTCAATATATATATAGGTGGGTTACTGGGTTTGTATAAGAGGAAATAAAATATTCTTTTATAACAACGTAACATAAGTGAAAATGGTCTTTTTCCTTATGATCTTCGGAAAAACAAGGTCGGTGATTAATCATTAGAAAAGAGATTTTTTCCTTATATTATTTTAATATTAATTTTCTTTCATATAAATATATCAGTTTAACATTTTATTTATATATGTATATTTCATCTGTTTTAAATTTTAAATACATGTTAGATTTTCCGTTATAAAAATTTATCATAGTGAGTCTAATTAAGAATATATATATTTTTTTTTTCGTCTGCTCTTTTTAATAATACTTACGACAGTAACTTTTTTCTTTTGTGTTGAAAATAATTAGTATCTATATATATATATATAAAGAGCAGCAATATAACATATAATTATATTATCATGCATTAAATTTTATTATTCCTCCAAAATTTTCAACATTCAATTTTATTTTTAAGTTACAAAATAACTTGCTTGAATGCCATAAATTATGAGCATAAATTGTACTCAAATTTTAAGTCACACCACTAATAAAAATGACCGGATGTATTAGTAATTAGCATAAAGAAAATTGTTGTAACGACTCTTCCATAACAATTACTTGATCAAAATTAATTTTGAAAATTATTTTCTTAATTCATATTTTTTTTTTCTAAATTAAATTATTATTTATTTTTATTTTTTTATATTATTATCTTTTTAAAGTATTTTTTTTCTTTGTACAAATGCACAGGTTGATTACTAGTTATAATTGAAAATTATAGTCTGTATATGTAATCATATTAAATTAAATTTACAAATAAAGATCAATATTTGAAACGACACATATTAATTCCAAATGCATGTGATATGTATTACTTTTAAGCTAAAAGAACTGAATAGTTTCCAATTACTATATTTCATGAATTATATCAATTAATTTATGTAATGTTCTGATTTTCCTTATTAAGCTGATAATTCATATATTAATTTAAAATATGACTCCTTACTTTATTACTTTAATGACATATATGCTTGGTGATTGGAATATTTATATATACCTAATTTATATTTTTTAAAATAAAAATTTCAAACAAAAAACTGTATTCAATGTAAATTTATACTTTATTTTATGAGATAATCTTACCCTAATTTAATATATTTAAAATAACATCTTTTAACAAACTTAAATTTTTATCTTCTATAACTAAAAATATTTATTTATTCCCCCTTTCCTATCTAAGAAAGGACTAGCATAGCAAATCGATCTATTCAATAGCATAGAATCCCCGTGTTATTATTTGAAAGCTTATATATTTCTTTTGTTTTAGTCTTAATCAAATTAACTTACTGTTTATTATTTGATTATTCTTACATTAGTGTCTCATATAATGTTGCTCCACATTTCTACATTACTNTTAGTTGATTCATCTTAAAATTTATTATTTGACCAAGTTTAAACCAATAAATTTATAATTTAATTTTAGAATTATATAAAAATATTTATTTATGTTTATATTGAATTACTATAAAATGAATCAATAATATAAAAAAATAATAACGATCAATATTTCAAATTAGTAGCAGACCAGCTAATATCGCGAAAATATTTATTTTATAAAATAATATGTCTAATTAAATAATATTTTAACATATTAAGTGAATTAAAATAATACATGTGAAGTATGTAGTGCGTATTAATCAAGTTGTATTTTGAACAAGTATATGGAAATGTGACTAACTACGCCGACAGCATTTTTTTCCGCCCCTTTTCTCTCTCCCGCTATCATTTACTTTCTTAAATATATACTTAAGAATTTGTTAAATACCTCCAAATCAATCGACCATTGTTGGATATTACCTGCAAAAGTTTACTTCTTTATGCAAATCCATTGAAAATGCACTCAGTTTTGTAGGTTTATGTATATTCAAGACTTTCTTCAGCTGAAAATAGCCAGCGATTTCATACAACTTTCGGCGCTTATCCATGCGGTGAACGAGGAAGACGGCCGTTTGTTTGTAAATTCTTCTACGGTCATTGAGTTCCTGTGAGTAAGTAAATAGTGCTAAATTTGATTTCCGCTTCTATTTTGTCGGCGTCGTTTGGATCTATAAGTTTGCCTCGTTTGCATGTGAAAAAGTGTATCTAAGGCTTGTATGGATGTATATCGATGTGCAATATTCGGTTTTTACTGATCACAAATGAATTTTTGAGTTTCCCCTTTTTTTTCTGAACATTATTACTATGTTCAGATTTTTGTCTTGATGCCTTTGTTTAGAAATGAGAGTGTCTGGTCGAAGATTTTGCTGTGTGTTTGCAGACATAGATTTGCCTGATGAGAACTTTTTCAGTCTCAGTTATTTAGATGTATCTTTACATACATTTGATCGACTACAGTGAGTATATGTCGGTTGTATGGCTAGTTTTGTTTGATTGAGCTGAGGTAATAGTGATGAAAACCGAAAGATCGATTGCCAAGGGTTCGTGTCCACCAACTTCTCAAACGGCTATTGGAAGTCATCCAATCCCTTATGTGTTTTAGGAACTTAAACTTGCATTTTCTTGTGTATACAGCTTTTGATTGCTGATGACTATTGAATCGCCTTCGGGAACTCTCTGCCCAACCGAACAAAAATTCAGCAAAAATGACGAAACCGAGTTATATTCCGTGTCCTGGAATCAGGATTACAGTTGCTTTTCCGCAGGCACCAGTCAGGGTTTCCGCATATACAACTGCAACCCGTTTAAGGAAACATTTAGACGTGATTTAAAAGGCGGGAAATTTAAAACAGTCGAGATGCTCTGCAAAAGTAATGTCTTAGCACTTGTAGGCACCAAAGCCGATGCTCAGCTTTCTCCAAACAACGTCATAATCTGGGACGATCACCAGAGCAGGTGCATAAGTGAGTTCTCGTTTAGATCCGAAGTTCGTGGGGTTAAGCTGAGGCGAGACCATAATTCTTGAGCACAGGTTGTATGTTTATGATTTTGTGGATTTAAGGCTCATTAGTCGGATAGATACAGTGGCGAATCCAAGGGGCTTATGTTCGCTCTCAAATGACTTGAGCGCTTGTGTACTGGCGTGCCCAGGCCTGAAATGCGGGCAGGTTCGAGTAGAGCATTTCGGGCTTAATCTGAAAAAAATGATTAGCGCACATGATTCTAAGATTGCTTTCTTGACGTTGACGGCTGATGGGCTGCTTCTCGCGACTGCTAGCGTGAGAGGGACTCTGATAAGGATTTCCAACTCAATGGATGGTACTCTATTGCAAGAGGTAATTCTCTTATTAACTGTGCAAGTTGTTAGAAATGCTTTTACCTAGATTCTCAATTTCTTTTTCTTTTCTTTTTTTTTCTTTTTCTTTTTTTTGTTTAAATGATTGTATTAGGATGAATGTACTTAAGTTTCTTCCAGTGCTATTTAACTGTTCAAGGCATATAAGTCTTGCCCGGAACCTATTCTTATTAAACTCATGTCAGTCTGCAGTCAGGCAGGGTTTTCTCATTTTCAAAACCCGGCATATGAGAATGTTCTTTTTTAATGAATTGTGTGAAACTGGTTCCAGTTAACCTCCTCACGTTTATGATGTACTGTAAGTTGATGACTTCTGGAAGTTTTCAGAAATGCAGTGGCACACAGACACACTTTTCTTTAATTTGTAACACTTCTCGAGTTTTGAATGGAGGGTTATAAATTGGCGACAGACATAGGGAAATGAACAGCTACAAGTCAAAGAGGAAAGTAGCTCGATAATTAGTTTAGAGCAGATGACACGTGGGAACAATTTTCTTTGATGATTTCCTAGATTCAATTCTTCAGTCTTCAAATGACACATGATTGTTCATATACTCTCTCATTACTTAGTCTCTATTTTTGTTGAACTCAATTTTTTATGTTTGCCTTTTTTTATTGGCATTTCTTACAAAAAGGTGCGCAGAGGGTTAGATACAGCAGATATACACAGCATTGCTCTGTCTTCAGACGTTCGCTTTTTGGCAGTGTCGAGCGACAAAGGCACGGATCATGTATTTAGTCTCAGAGTGCGGATGCTTGGTGAGAACACATCAGCTGATTCAGAACTTATCAGACTCTCTCGACTCTTTGATTTCTCAAAGCAATGGTGCCAATCCTGGTTCATCATTGTCTTTCATGAAAGGTAAGACTAATTCCATGATCAAAATTTATTGGTTGTAAATGGCTCCGTAGTAAGTGGAGTGTATTTAAAGTTTTGAGACACCTGAGTACACGGATGATCATGGGTGATATATACAGAATTTTTCCAGGAAGTCAAGTGATGATACGAAAATTGTGTAATATAAAGATAAATTGTACATAAACTCTTGATTTGTACTAAAATTTTGCATGGTATAAGATCTCTCAAGTGATGATTGGCTACATAGTTCATGAAACCTTTTCTTGAATGTAAAACCTGAACTGATCGTTTCAAATCACATTATTCTTGTCAGGAGTGTTGCCTAATTATTTCAGTTCAGAATGGTCTTTTGCTCGGTTTCACCTGCCGCAATGTAGCACACGTTTTATTTTGGCTTTTGGGTCTCATAACACCATCTGTATAGTGGGCATGGATGGGAGGTAAGACCAGTTATTTAAGTACTCATCTTTTCTAATTGTGACCATTTTTCACTTGCAAGTGTTCTGATACTCTTAACTGACACATAAAAAATAATGGGCCGTGAATTAGTCTCGATTTGTATTCCATCATTCAAGAAAACCTGAAATGCGGCTGATATATTCTCTGTTTTCAATCTTCTTTCGATTATCAGTTTCTATCGGTGCAGCTTTGACCCAGTGAACGGAGGAGACATGGTGCAGCAAGAGCATGTTGACTTTCTTAAAACAGAAACTCGACATATATAGAGACATACATATGCTTCTTATGTTGCAGCCTGCAGGAGATAAATATGTGTGATTTTGTAGTTTTGGTTTAGCAATATTTTGCTGTTATTATTTCATTCATTCATTTTTTATTTATATTATTTTTTCACGACAGGTGTAGATTTTTTGTATCTTTGAATCAATGGTATTAATGAGTAAACATGATCATTACCTGTAACTCATCACTTTGGTGGGGTTTAGAAAGTAATTAACAATGAATTAGTAGGAAAAAAAAAATGTTAAGATTAATCACATCAGATTTATGGCTAGAAGACATTCTTGCACAATGGAGATACTGCTACATTTCATTAACGAAATTAATGATTAATTACAGTGCCACCCCTGAGACTCCTCAATCTCAATTACAGAAACATTTCAGCTAACCATTCAATGTTACTAATACACCCTAGAAAGAGGAAAAGGTAAAAGAAAACGAAACATATCAAACGGGTTGTTCTTGATTTCAAACCGAAGTCCAAATCTTTTGCAGTCAACCCAAACTTCAGGGGTCATTTTCGTCAATATGTTCTCCGGAATTTCCAAGAGAACCCTAGAACGGAGGATAGGTCGATATGGAGACCCCAACATCTCTCGAGGGGCCCGGAACATCAAATCCCGACATGAAATCATCGCCAAAGATCACCGCTCCAGCTGCTAGGGCCCCCGCGCCAACTCCCATCCCAAGACCGGGCCTCCCGCGCAGGCCCGATGGGCCAACTGAAGATGGCATGTTTATGTAGCTGCTAGGCCCATAGTTCGCGTTCATGGGAAATAAACTAGGAGTGTAGCCCACGTTAGAAGGGTAGTGACTGGGCCCAGTGGTCGCAGGGTAGTATGGTCCGGAGATCGGCTGCTGGGGATGATGATTTGGAGGGAATGGGTTCGATTGGCTGGTTTCCGGTTGGTGATTTTGCGTGTGATTTTTTTCCAGTTGGTGATTTTGAGGGAATGGGTTCGAGTGATTTTTTTCCGGCTGGTGGAATGCGGATGAAGGGAGTTGGGAAAGGGGAATGTGTGGAGATCCATAGCCGCTAGCTAGGTTTATGCCGGCCTTGTGATCTTTTAAATGAAAGCCTTCGTCGCCTAAATATTAGATGAGGTTTAAGGGATGGTTAAAAACATGGAAAAGTTGCAGCTCTCCGTAAAAATGACACTAATAATGCCCTTAATATGGAAAAATTGATTAAAAACCAGAAAAATCAAAAGGAGCATTCATCATTTTATGCAGAAAAAATAATTTTGAAATAATTGTTCAATACTGTAATGATAGGACAAACTTCAAGGGTATTTTTGGTTAATTATACTTGGTAATGTATATGTGCTTAAAGTTGAAGGTGTTCATACCTAAATACGAAGAGCCTGGCTCCTCCCTTTCTTGTGAAATCCTGATTGAGACATCCACAAATCCCAGAGGCTTGTTCGAACTCTTTTTCCTCAGCTGAAAGCTACCGACTTCTTCCACAGGCTTCGAGACATCCGATTTCGAATCAAACTTGTTGAGAAATTCTTTCAGAACAATGGTAGCCGAACCCAAGAGGCTCCGCCTGAGAAATATTGGCTCCCGACTGTGGACCTCAACGTTTAAAGTTAAATCTTGAAACTTGGACTCATCAGAAAGGTCAACCACCGTAGAAAACTTCATTTTCCAAACCGGATTCCCATTCCCTGAGGTGTCGATTTTTGTGCAGTACTTGTTTTCAGGATCAATCCATCCAACTGCAAACCACTGGAGCTTTAAAAAGGACGAAGTTCGTTTGAGCCCACGAGCAGAAATTAAGCATACCTCAATCCATATTTTAACCATCTCCTAGAAAGTGCAAGGTAATCTGTGTTTATGGTGGACAGAGGAGGAGGAAAAGGGTTTGTGTTTCTGGTGGTACATTTACTTGATAAAAGGGAATAAAGTATAAATGAAAGGGTGTGTAATGCTTTTGGACCGTTTGAAGGCTACCTTACTTTATGCCTAGGAAAGTAATTTTTTAACCAAGATGTTTCACATAAGTGGATTACAGATGGAGAGAGAGAATCAGGTAACTAATAGTCAAATATTCACAAGAATTTCAAACAGTTACTTCTGGTAAGCTGATAAAAAGGACTACATTTTTTGTCCTTCTGCACAACATTTATAGTAAACCAAGATTAAAAATATGACTAAAAGAGGTAGAATTGTATTAAATCATTTACAAGTAACTAATTTGTGAGCTTCCTTGAAGGAGGAACTATTAGTAGCTTTCTACCAGCTGATACAGCTTGCTCATTGTTGGAGTTACTAGAGTCCGAACGTGTATACATCATTGTGGTCGAACCCAAAGTATCTTCCCCAAATCCACATTCACTGAAGAATAGCCTGTGTATGTAACACATAAGCTGCACTATCTATAAAGACAGTGAATTAAGATGGATACAATAACTCTAATGTTTCAGATACTGAAGAATGTAAAAGCCAGAAGGTACACAGCAATTATTTATATTCACTAAAAATGCAAAATTATACTTGATCAGCAACATTCGATTTCCATAAGGAACTTAAAATGAAATAAAACAAGGATGACGCCATCCTGCCATTTGACTTCGATCGAACAATGGTGGAAAACAATTTTCATTTTCTAATAATGGTAATATAATCATTACTCAACTACAGGGTTGAGCCCCAAAAGCTGATGATTAGTGGCAATTAGAAACAAAAACAAGAACAAGATTTACCTTTCACGGCCAGTACAGAGTGCAGATATATCATATATCTCCCTGCTAGTAAGCATTCTGCAAAACAGATGAGAGGACTTCACGAATCATAAACTTCTATATCATATGAAGAAACGACATGTAGTTCATCAATATCCACCATTAGAACAAACCTTACGATTCTTTTTACTATCATCCGACCAATTCCCTGACCTTGTAAAGCCGGGTGAACCTGTAAGACAGCATTGCACCATTACATGTATCCATTCCAAAAGATACTATTACTTGCTGTGAAAAATGGGCACAGTTAGCTAAAAAGGATGTGATTTCATTAATAAATAAATTAAAATAAAAATAACCTTGGTATCTAGCTGCATTTTTCAGATTGTAACAGAGTAAACACGTAGTTTCTAGACATTAAATTTTCGATCTTCCTATTTTCCCCCTTTCTTTAGTTATGGACTTACCATGACATCATAGATGGCAGCCGTCAATCCCAAATCAGAGACCGCGCGAACAAACCCTACCAGCCGTCCATTCTCCGGCGTCACTGGTGCCAGCTTTCTCATCCAACCTCCGCTCAAACCGATGAAATTCGTCACCTCCACCGAATCGGTCGTTAAAAATTCGGGCTTCGTGAAAGCCGACACGACGAAGGGGCTGTGGGAAAGGGCGGTTCGGAGCTTTATCTCGTCGATGGGTTCGACTCCTCCGGAATCATCGACGGCGGGGAATCGGTGGCCGGATAGGTTGCAGGCCGCGTAGAGCTCTCTGAGGTGATTTAGGTTGATGTGTACTGGGTTTGTGGATATGGCTATCGGCGGCGAGAGGGATTTGGGATTGATTTGAGCGGCCACCTTGAGCGAGGATGGTGAAATGGGGCGGGCAGTGGAGAGAGGGTAGCGGCCGTGGGCGGATGTTGCAGCTGCCATTACTGTTGCGTTGGAGATTATGATGATTGGATATGAATTCAACTAGTAAGGGAGTGATTGTATATAATTGTACAGTAAATATTCCACTCAAAACTCAAATTTAACTCAATTTTAATTTAATTTCATTGTCTTCAATCTATATCTATATCTATATATATATAATAAAAATTACTATTTACCATAAATAGTAACTATAAATTTTAGGACAATATTAATTACTTACTATTTTTAGATTGTTTTTCCTTTTTTTACATAAAAACAAATCATCATTTATGAATTAGGATACAAATTAGGGATCTAATTTGAAATACAAATTAAAATCGGATATATACTAAAAGAAAAGAATTTGTTTATTTCTCCATCATACAATCTCATATATCAATACCATTAAATTCGGATTTTTTTTTTCTCTTTTTTTTTGTACATAAAACTGAATAAGTCGAATCAGCCTTTATGACTTAGACAGCCTACAAATTTGGGAATGTAATTTAAAATATAAATTGAAATTTGACATCTCCTAAAATAAAAGAATTTGTTGATTCCTCACAATACAATCCATATCAAAATATGGAATTTACATATTTTATACGCACATGCAGACTGCTAGAATAAATAAAAGCATTTTATCATTGTTTACTTAATTTCTTATCTTTTTTCAATATTTTCTAATTTAGTCATTGTTTAAGGTTAATCTAGACTATCACTACCACTATATACGTAGCAACATTAATACATAACATTCCATTCATATAAAAAAAAAATATATACAATAAATATAACTATTCACATCCATCCATTCATCCATCAACGAAAAAACAAAAGACGACAGATTCAGTCGATTTTACTTATAAAGCAATAATAATAATATTAATAATGGTAATATTATTAATAATATAAATCTGCTTATTGACCATTCACAACCATCAATTCATCCATCCGTGATTTGCAAAATAAATAAATAAATAAAAAAATAAAAATCATCCATCCGTGCAAAAAATAAAAAACATTCTTTACTTTAATAATAAACAGTTTTTCATATATTTGACAGAAAACCCAGTAACACACCATACTTATATAATAATAATAATAATAATAATAATAATAATATAAATATGCTTATTACAAATTCAGAAAATAAAATCTCATTAGAGTAAGTAAATGTCGTCATATACAATACATGAATGAAATAGGGAAAATTAAATTGACATAAAAGCAACATAGATTATTAAGTAGACTTATTCGGCTTAAATATTTGAATTTGACTACACAAGTAAGACATTATTACTCTTCTTATTAAAATAACATATTACTGTTTATTAAAAAATCAAAAAGTTCATGTTTTGCACATAATTTTAATAAATTAAATTAAATACTAAAGGTACATCAACCATTCATTCATTATAGTGTGGCAATCCATTAATTAACTACAGAATATTAAGTTCTTTTTCTAGGTAGCAAATAATTAAGTTATATTATCTAATCACAATTTAAGTCACAAAAAGATAAATAAATTTACTGCTGAAATCAATTTTGAAATTATATATGATTGTTATTTGTTGAATATTATTTTATTGTACAATTTCCGTACTTATTATAAAACTTTTACTTTATTATTCATCTTAAAATATAATCTATATATATATATATAATAAGAATTACTATTTATAAAAAATAGTAAGTCAATCCTTGGTCAAAACTGATCAACATTAATTACATGTCATTTATAGTATCTTTTTAATATTTTTTTTTATTAAAAACGGACAGCATTAAATGTTGTCCTGAGGAGTTTGTTACTTTTTTATTTTCAAAAAAGCGAGCTGCTATTTAAATTTGGTCTATTGAATATTTGTGATGGTTTGACACGATGTGCATATCAAAAGTTGATAATGCATGGGCTGCATCAATTAAATTTGGTTATTGGTTACAAGAAGCTATTTTTAAATTTGAATAAAAATGTACGTCATGACTGCTAATTCAATCAAATATCGGCCAATTATATTCTCCAAATTTAAACCCAGATATTCGGCTCATACAATTTATTTGCTTGCCAACTTTTTTTCAATAAAAAAGTTACGATCGATTTAATAAAAAAAATTATGTGTTATTTTTTCTAACATTAAAAATATACTTTTGTATTTTCAAAATATCTAAAAAAAAATTTTTCTATAAAATCGGCTAATACATATGTTTTGATTAGCAGATTTTATTATTTTAAAAAAAAGTACGGCTAATTTAAGGGTAAAATATATTAAAAAAATTATTTATTTATTTCTTTTGAAAACATTTTTTCTAACCATCAAATCGAGCAGTTTCAATTAAAAGAATAAAGTTACGGCTGATTCAGTTGTTTTGTTTGACAATTATTTATTATGAAAAATAATACACGGGTCTAATTTGAAATGATCAAAATTTTTATGGTCTTTGTTTAAATCAGAGATTCGAAATAAGAATAATCTCCATATTTAAATTGCTTTAATTGTAAAACGTGATGTATACAAGATTTAGACAGATTTATCGCATATCATCCTCTAAATTAATGATTTTATTTTGTTTTAAATTTCAAAATACCAAATCATATTTTTATGGTCTTTGTTTAAATCAGAGATTCAAAATATCGTAATCTCCATATTTAAATTGTTTTAATTGTAAAACGTGATGCATACAATATTTAGATAGATTTATCACATATCTCCCCTAAATTAATGATTTTATTTTTTTTCTAAATTTCAAAACACCAAATCATAAAGTTGCGGCTGATTTAATTATTAAACAATATTTTGCAATCATAGATTCGGGTTAAATTCAAATTCAAAATTTAAATTGCCGATATGTAGATAAATTTGGACAAATTAAATACATATGATCCCTGAAATGAAGGATTTTATTCCATTAAAAAAACATAAAATATGAACTTAAGATGTAGATTATATTATGCACGTGTGATAATATAATTTTACATGCTATGAAAGTCATATTGTTTATCCGTGCATCGCACGGGCTACGTACTAGTATTATCAATATAATTAAATAATATAAATCAATCATTATTACACATCACATCAACTTTAATTCACAATTCACCCACTCACATAATTTTAACTAACCATCACTTCTAATCATTTTCTCCTACTTTTTACATCAAATCAACTTTATTTTTTTTAATTTAAATATTGTTTTAATATATCCACTTACAACTAACCATACTACTTTTTTCAAACTTAACTATAGTTAAAAAAAACTAGTTTTTACTAGTTGAATTCATATCCAATCACCCCCTAAAAGATTGGTTTTTCTTTAACTATAGTTAAATTTGAAAAAATGTGGTATAATTAGTTGTTAGTGGATATATTAAAATAATATTTAAAATAAAATAATTAAAATTAATTTGATGTAAAGGTAGGAGAAAATGATTGGAAGTGATGATTAGTTAAAATTAGGTAAGTGGATGAATAGTGAATTAGAGTTGATATGATGCGTAAGAATGATTGATTGATATTATTTAATTATATTGATAATATTGGATATAGTGAAGTTGAGTTAAATTTAAGTTTTGATTGATTTTGTTACTGTAAAATCTATATACAATCGCCTCCTTAAAATTGTTCTTAAACGAACATACGTTTTTTTTTCACATTATGTCTGTTCAAATTAAAAAGCAATATAGTTATTATCTGAGTTATTATCTATTTTATATATTTTTTAATCAGCGTTATGTCTAAGTTATAATCTATTTTCCACCACTTTTAATTCACATTTATTTTTTCAGCCAAACATTAAGTATGAACATGTTAGGACTAACTTGTAAAATAATTATTATATTATCTCACTAACACATTTATATAATATAAATTTAATTTTAGTATATATATATATATATATATATATATATTCCTTGAATATAAGAGAACATAACAGTTTTACTTATTATTATTCACCATATAATACTTAATTATTATTTAGTATAAATTTTGTTGTCATATAATGTCATTATTATTTATAAAATTTATAGAAGTTGTACGCCTTATTTTTCTTTTTATTTTATATAATGAAAAATATTTAATGCACGTTGGTATTATTTATTTATGTAATCAATTTAAAATATATAAATAAATTTAAACATAAATATTGTATAAATATTTTACAAAATACACACACATGTTTTTTAGAATTTAATTTTATATACTAAACAATTTTTGATTTAGTAAATGCAAAAAACTTAATTCCTTCTATAATCAAAATTTTTTTAATCTACATTATAAGAATTTATAGTTTATTTAGCATACTATGCAATGAAAATATATTTTACAAGAATTTCATTATAGAAAGAAATCAAAACAAAAATGATACAAAAAATAATCCTGGTTGCCAATAATATACAAATAAATTATAGAATAGTTAATATATTTCGATTTTATTTTTTGACTATTAGTAAAACTATTTATTGTACCTGGTCAATATCTCTTAAATGGTAATTATATTAATTTAAAGAATAATTTATTTTTTATATATAACAAAATAAAGCTTAAGAAAAAATATATTGACAAAGATTAATTCACTAACTTGATTTCACCTGATTAATTGGAAGAAAAAATTCTACCTAACATGTTACGATTTTCTATAAGTATTTTAGATAAAAATGAACAATTCTACCTAACATGTTACGATTTTCTATAAGTATTTTAGATAAAAAATGAACATTTGTGAAAAATAAAAATTAATATTATGGTTAGAACTTAAAATATGTTGTAATATTTATCTTGACCAAAATAATATCAACACGAGTCACGGAATATCAAACTTGTAATTTATCATAATGGATATTAATGAAATTATCGCATATATTAGTAAAAATATTTAAGGAAACAATATTTTTGGTCATATCTCATTTGATCTTATTTGAAAACGTACATGTGGAAGCAAAGCAATTAATGCATATATTTAAAAAGTTACTAAAAAAATGTATGCATTAAATGCTCCCAAATTTTTTTACTATTATTTTTGATAAATGGTTATTGTTATTATATATATATGGATT